ATTACATTCTGAGACAGATTAACCAATTATAAGATTGGAGCCATTTGTCAGTGATGCTGGCAGTATAGTAAATGAGTGATCATAAATCTGTCTCACAGACCCTGGCCCTATTATTTTCCCTAGCCTAGCCATTTCTGCAATGCTAAAGCTCTTAATGAAGCAAGTCTAGATTCCCTCAAGTTCAGGATCCTCATCTCACTGGGAGTCTTTCTTCAATTTTAAAGGAATTGTTTGTTTCTATCAAAAGTATATATATTCAGAGACTAAGCGTTAGTCTAGTGAGTGATTTGATTACAATATCAATTTGATTTCAAAATACAGACAAACATAGATGACTGCATCATATGCGTCCTAGCACTGTTGACTTCCTGACTTTCCAAGATCGCTGTAAAGTCATCACAAACGCTTTGGCATTGGTTCGAGTCATTTACGATTATTTGTTTTTGAGTTAGAGTGCAATTCATTGGTCAGGTTTTAACTCAAACAGACTGTATTAACAACTGAACAAAATGAATGTAACAACTTAATCACAAAACAACTTAAGTTTGAACATAAACCTGATTACTATGTGAGTTGGGGCCAAATATTGCCCTTGGAGCAAGTCTAAATAAATCTCTGTAATGATTATCGATTCATTTCAAACATCAGAAACATTTGAAAGAACATTTTATTTTGTCAATTATGGATCAGATTATTAAAAGGTTAATGAATTCCAAATCCGCACCCTCTCCCTGAATATTGCTGCAGAGCAGGTACGTCTCATAAAGCATGCAAAGTTACAATCAATAATCTAAATCAAAAGGTACCTAAATAATTAACGTACACTTGCTATAGGGACCACTGATTGCGTAAACCAACAAAGTGATTAATCCTGAACATGATGACCAAGTCTTAATGTCTCCAAATGCACAGGTGAGTTTTGTTGCATCCAGTCAGAAACTGTGTGATAGACAATGACTGGACATGAAGACCAGGGCACAATAATTGTAAGTGTTAATAAGATCCCTAACCTATCCTATCTGTATCATTGTAGAAGTGAGTTGGGTTTTACGCTGCTTTTAGCAGTATTCCAGCAATATCACAGTGGGGGACACCAGAAATGGACTTCACACATTGTACCCATGTGGGGAATCAAACAGGGTCTTCGGAGTGATGAGCGAACGCTTTAACCACTAGGCTACCCCACTGCCCCGTGTCATTTAAGGAAAGCAAGCCAACGAACATAGATTCATTCAATTTCAGAGGACTCTACAAATGTCACACGTGTTTGACAATATGAATGTTATGGCATGAATCAGGTCTAAACTGGTTTGAGATTCACTGTTATATTTCAGCATATGCATGATAAGTGGTGTCAGTACAGACATCAATTAGTATCTCACTGCACAAGTTATATGCATAATGTAGAATGAAACATTGCTTAAGATAAATTAGAACTTGCTGCATATTGAAATAGACAACAAATAAATATCACCTAGAACTGATCCACGTCCCAACGACATCTCAGGTTACATTATCATCAGTATCTTTTCGATGACGTTTGGTTCAAACACAACTAACATGAATAACAATGGCATACACGTAATTGCAAATAGCCTTAAGGGTGAAACAGTACACTCATATCATGGTACGGTACATATTGTGGTACAAGGCCTTCGGTTCGGTCCGTTCCGTTCGGTATATGAAATATGATCATAATGAAGAAACTTGACAACACGAGCTGTGGGCAGCCATCGTCGCAGTGGCGGGTCTGGTGTACGTAGCCAAACCTTACATTGTTCAATAACATCAGAAAAAAATAACCATAATGTTTGTTATTTTGAATTAACAAAACTGTCATTTAAAAAGGTTAATAAAATGATGGTACGAAAAAAGAAAATACTAAATTTTTGGATTGCATTACGGTATACAGAACCAAAGGCAAAATACTGCCGTTCTACTAATACCACAGTATACCGTTTCACCCTAACTGCCCTGTCACACCGTCCAATGTTACTCAATTCATTGTTCTGCAATATGCTGCCATTCCCTGTCACTCCTGTCAGTGACCAAAGATGATGATGAAGCCCATTTGTATTGAGTTTGACATTAGGACATTACTGCCTCCTAAATAATGGTCCTAGATCTTATTGCCAGCTGACACATGACCACCCCATTATGACTCCATGATATGAGGCTAATATATGACCACCCCATTATGACTCCATGATATGAGGCTAATATATACATTAACTCCTTCCATAAACAATGATATCCTTGTGTTACACTGACAGAAGCTGACCACAGTAACCAACTCAGCTCCTACTGCTTCCTGCTTATCTGTTATGGAATCAAGACAAATTCTGTATGTTTTAAGAACCTTACACCGTTTTACAAGCTTCCCTGATACTTTTATTGCTTTACTGAAGAATGTTGCCAAGCTTTGTTCATATCTAACTATTTAAGTGGCATCTGGTTGGCGGTTTAATGCCATACTCAGAAATATGCCAATTATAAGGCTGCGATCTGTAAATAATCGAGTCTGGACCAGACAATCAAGTGATCAACAGCACGAGCATTGATATACACAATTGGGATATGATGACATGTGTCAACCAAGTCAGCGAGCCTAACCACCCGATCCTGTAAGACGCCTCTTACGACAAGCATGGGTTACGGAAGATCAATTCTAACCCAGATCTTCACTGGTCCCCTTATGTTATTAGTGAAGTAGACACATGTCACTACACCTGGGGTTACTGAAGATCAATTCTAACCCAGATCTTCACTGGTCCCCTTATGTTATTAGTGAAGTAGACACATGTCACTACACCTGGGTTACTGAAGATCAATTCTAACCCAGATCTTCACTGGTCCCCTTATGTTATTAGTGAAGTAGACACATGTCACTACACCTGGGTTACTGAAGATCAATTCTAACCCAGATCTTCACTGGTCCCCTTATGTTATTAGTGAAGTAAACACATGTCACTACACCTGGGTTACTGAAGATCAATTCTAACCCAGATCTTCACTTGTCCCCTTATGTTATTAGTGAAGTAGACACATGTCACTACACCTGGGGTTACTGAAGATCAATTCTAACCCAGATCTTCACTGGTCCCCTTATGTTATTAGTGAAGTAAACACAGACACATGTCACTACACCTGGGTTACTGAAGATCAATTCTAACCCGGATCTTCAATGGTCCCCTTATGTTATTAGTGAAGTAAACACAGACACATGTCACTACACCTGGGTTACTGAAGATCAATTCTAACCCGGATCTTCAATGGTCCCCTTATGTTATTAGTGAAGTAGACACATGTCACTACACCTGGGTTACTGAAGATCAATTCTAACCCAGATCTTCACTGGTCCCTTATGTTATTAGTGAAGTAGACACATGTCACTACACCTGGGTTACTGAAGATCAATTCTAACCCAGATCTTCACTGGTCCCCTTATGTTATTAGTGAAGTAGACACATGTCACTACACCTGGGTTACTGAAGATCAATTCTAACCCAGATCTTCACTGGTCCCCTTATGTTATTAGTGAAGTAGACACATGTCACTACACCTGGGGTTACTGAAGATCAATTCTAACCCAGATCTTCACTTGTCCCCTTATGTTATTAGTGAAGTAGACACATGTCACTACACCTGGGTTACTGAAGATCAATTCTAACCCAGATCTTCACTGGTCCCCTTATGTTATTAGTGAAGTAAACACAGACACATGTCACTACACCTGGGTTACTGAAGATCAATTCTAACCCGGATCTTCAATGGTCCCCTTATGTTATTAGTGAAGTAAACACAGACACATGTCACTACACCTGGGTTACTGAAGATCAATTCTAACCCGGATCTTCACTGGTCCCCTTATGTTATTAGTGAAGTAGACACATGTCACTACACCTGGGTTACTGAAGATCAATTCTAACCCAGATCTTCACTGGTCCCCTTATGTTATTAGTGAAGTAAACACAGACACATGTCACTACACCTGGGTTACTGAAGATCAGTTCTAACCTGGATCTTCACTGGTCCTCTTATGTTATTAGTGAAGTAAACACAGACACATGTCACTATACCTGGGTTACTGAAGATCAGTTCTAACCCAGATCTTCAATGGTCCCCGTATGTTATTAGTGAAGTAAACACAGACACATGTCACTACACCTGGGTTACTGAAGATCAATTCTAACCCAGATCTTAACTGGTCCCCTTATGTTATTATTGAAGGAAACACAGACACGTCACTACACCTGGGTTACTGAAAATCAATTCTAACCCGGATCTTCACGGGTCCTTAGCAAAATGAAACAGAGTACAGGCGAACAAACCAAAAAATAGCATACAGCTGCTTGTCATTGATTCCACATCAGCGAGGTGGGTAGGCTTTAACACCTTTTAGTGTCTAAAGTGGCATCTAGAAGCTGGTATGATGAATAGGAACATGTTTTATTCATTGACAACTCTTGCAATAAAGAAGTTGCCAATCCATAAACTTTGTTCCTCTTCATGTTGATATCAAGAAACATTAACATCTTTTACTGAAACATGTCTTTGTCTAGGGCTGGCCATCAATAGAGATCACAGAAATTGATAAGCACTACCACAACATTGATTGATTATCAATAATTATTGGAGACGTGACTGAGCAAAAGAGGAAATGAAAGTCCCAAAGAAATCAAGATATTTCACATGACTACCAAGTGGTGACGACCTTACACAAGGATTACAAACAAACACATGTCTGGGACCATATTTTAAAAGCTGCTGATGAATGGACAAGTAACTTTGTGTACACGGTATGCAAATTACTAATGTATTTCATCACAAAAATTACTACAGAATATTATTGATGACACAATTTTCATATTGGTAATCATTAATAATTCTGCCAATGGATGATACTGCTGATTATTGATCTTTTTAGCCAGCCCTACATCAAAGCACTTTTCACAAAGGAACATGAAGAGTATTGTTAGATGTAATAGTCTGATACCTACCTGAAAGAATTAGGTCTTGAGATCCTATCCTTCAAAGAAACAGTACTAAGAGATGTGGACAATTCTTCCTTGCCGTTGCATCCATAAACTTGACTTCTAGAAATATTACCATTCATCTGTGCATCTCTACTGTAAAACAAAGGTCTAGCCATATCCTTCTTGGTAAATGAACTCCTCAAAACATCCTCAGTAAATCCGTTTATGCAACTTTCACTTCGTTCGGGTGAGATGCGTGAATTTTGAAACTTGTTTTGATGGTTGTCTTTATTGTTCTGTTCCGTTTCACTTTGTTTGTTTGACTGTCCTCCACATTGACATATATGACTGGTCAGGTCTTCAACCTGACTGACCGTTCTCTCTCTGCGGGATGCATCCTCTGAATCAAGTTGACAATCAACTGAATCAAATGCTGCAAGTGGTGCCCTTAAGCTCACATCATCACCAAATATTTCGGACACAACACTCTTGGCATTGTCCATGCTGGTAAGCATTGCACCAGCATAGTCTAAACTGTCAGAGGATTTGCACGAGAACTGGGACCTTCTCTCTGGTATCCTTCTCCTGCCCCTTCTCAGAGAAGATTTCACTTCGATGATATCGGAATGGCGGTACATTTTGGGGCTATGAGGATGAGTCTTGCATATAAGGTTCTTCTGCCATGCATGTAATCGGGCGTTTCTTGGACCACAGGAACAATAGGTATCTGGTTCTGATTTGCATGGTGAACTTTTCAACTGGATTTGTCCACAGTGTTGGCACGACGTCTGACTCTGCTCTCTGATATCGGGTGGTTGCACTTCTTGCGCGTGTCATCTTGACTTTCATCAGTAGAAGGTCCCAGACTCTCTATCCCGCTGTCTGATGGGACAACACCCTTATCGGCTGCCTGCTCCTCCGTCCTCATCAACTTCTCTCTTTCTTCATCCTCCTCCTTGTCGATGCTACTGTGAGTTCCATATGCACATATGTCCTCATCCTTAGTCTTAAAGCTACGGCCTCGTTTACGAACAAAAGAACCCCTCCGATCTGCTTGGAGGAGCAGTTCCCATGATCTTCACTTAGATGTTACGTCTGAAAAGAAAATCATACTTTATGAAGGATATAAATATGATGATTGTATTTATTCATGTGGGGTTCATAGTTATAATGACATTAATACCAGGTTTTCATTTATCATGTTTATGGATGAAATATATGTATTTACACAATAAAAGTAGCATGATTAATGTACAGGTATAAAAAATGTACCAGAATCAGTATCTCTAATGCACAGCCTATGACAATTTATAATAACAACAATTATTTTACAATATCATGATCCCAAATATATCCTGAAAATTGCAAAACAAACTATGAAGTTGTAAACAATGTCAAACTAAATCTTTTAAAAAATCTCAAAGCGGCACACCAAGGCAGAATTCCTTGAACAAAAGCCTTCTATAATGAACCCCTACAGATTTGGGTAAACCCAAACATACCATCAGTAAACACTGAAGCAAACAACTCACTCCAAAATGAAAATGCAGAGTGTCAAATATGATGGGAACAAACTAACACAACAAAGAGCCCATGAGCCAGGACAATGTCCCCCTCTCACATCCACCTGTAATCATCTCAGCAATATTACCAGGTGTGTGACAACAACTGGCAGAGACTGACCAGCTGACCGATATTCACCCCCTCCCACACCTGGACGTGACATGTGAACAGCTTTCTCCCAGGATGTGGGAACCTCCACAAGAAGAGACTGTTCTCCGATTGATTCCCAGCCCCGTCTACATCACCTTACACGCTAGTCTTTGTCAGTCTGTGATGTTTAGTGTGCAAACACAAACCCGAGCACATTCCTACTGACCTACATACCTACTACTACACATAGCACCTACCTGTTTAATCAAGCTGCTAGATGTTTTTGTTGCAGGAGCCTAAAGTTACTGAGAGTCTAATCAGTGTGAAAACATACCTTAACAATGGATCTATTGTTTGGAACCCTGGATTAACGTACTCACTTGCTGGTCAAACCACACTTGAAATTGACTGAACTTTATATCTTTTTTTTATATCACTGACTTGATGGCATAATGCTTAGACGGCATACAAGGAAGGAAGTCAACAAGGATGGCTAAGAAATGTAGTCTTCAGCAACTGTGATGTTGAAGAATTTACAATTGAAATTTGTTCAAACAAGGCAGAATTATCATCTGTTCTTGATGTTTATGAACCGTAATATTGAACAAACATGTAATTTATTAGCTTTTTGTAAAAATGAAAAGGGCAGATAATAAGAATGATCAGTGTTATGTGTCCTCATACCAGGCTAATCAATACGAGTAAGCAATATTTATGTGATGGATAAATGTGCTTGACTTGATTTCATCAGAATTGATTCATTATAGAACTGTGTTGCCAAAGAGCAATGTGCATCTGTGAAAGGCTCAGCAGAGTTTCACCTAATGAAAATTATCACACTATGAAATGCAAATCTACCAATTAAGCCAATTCGTTTTTGCCCGATACAATTAAACTGTGAAATTACCTACCTTAAATGTGACAATTTGTTTCTCTGTTGGACAGTTCAAGAATCTAATCACACCACAAGTTGATACCAATACAATGTTCGATCTAGATGTTGGTAGTTCATTCTGTCAAATAATACACTGTCGTCTTAGAGTGGGATGCAGTGACTTACACAGTGATAAATATAATCGTTTCATTTCTGATTTCACATGATTATGAGGATGTATTCCACTATTTCTTCATGTGTCCTAAATTTAATAGCATTCAATGTGAATCATATTTCTATGCGAAAGGTTTCTCCCTGTGGAATGTGCTAAATGGTAATTACACATCAGACGAATAAGGATATTCTAGTCAGTCCATCAATTCTTTATTACATCAAAACGATTTGATTCATTAAGGTTTTGTAATACCTATTATTTTCTTATGTTATCAACTGGTCATGACACAAAACTAAGGTAATTTGTTCATATCCAAGATTGTTAACATTCAGAGATAACTTGTTCTTATTTTGGTTTAAACACATCTATCCATGTGATCATGACGGGATTGGCAAACAAGCATAAAACATGCTTATATCAATCCCTTACCCTAACTGACTGACTGATTTTGGTTTTCGCCGCTTTCAGCAATATTCCAGCAACATCACGGCAGGGGGACACCAGAAATGGGCTTCACACCGTGCACCCATGTGGGGAT